AGCACCAAAGTCTTGAGCGCTGCCAGCCGTCCAAAATTCTCAGGCAGGCTCGAGAACGAGGAACAGGAAGAAATCGTCAGGCTCTCCAAAGCGCTGAGGCAGGTGAACTTGTCGGGCAGATGGGAAAAGTTTTTGCAGCTGCGAATGCTCAGCACGCGAAGGCATGGGAGAAGCTCCGCGATGTTTCCGGGCAGCTGCTCGAGCTGGTCGGATTTGGTAATCAGCAGCCGCTCGAGACGGCTACACGGTCGATCTGACGGAATCGGCAGGCAAGTTTCTAATGTCAACAGCGGTAACTGTGAGAGGATGAGAGCAGCGGCGGGTTGATCGCGGGGGGAGATATCGATTCTGTCTGAGATCGTAAGGCTGGTGATGCTCGGAAGGCAAAGGAGAACCGCCAACGACTTCGAGTCGACGTAACATGAGGCGATTCGGAGGGATGCCAGAGAGGAAAGGCTTGCGAGAAGAGGCGACTCGAGCATTGACGGAGTTGTTACTGTGAGGGAGTGCAAGTGCTCGAGTCGGAAAAAGGAAGCCGGAAGCTGCATGTCGTCCAGGAGGCAGAAGAGCGAAAGCTGCTTCAGCTGCGAGCAACGCTGGAAGAGCCGATCCAGACCGGATTCGGTTACCGGGTGGTTCTCCTTCCTCGTGAAGACGTTTTCGAATGTGATTCTTTCTCCCACATCGAGTGACGTCAGCTTAGGGCACGACGCCGCGAGGCGATCGAGGAAATCGTCGTTGATCGTCGCGACGCTGCCGTCGCACAGATGCAGACGGGTCAGACTCGGGAAGCACGCGACAGCCGTTGCGAGGAATTCGAGAGGAACGTCGAGGTCTTCTTTGAGGGAAAGGGTGGAAACGGAGAGCTGCGCGAGTCGCCTCCAACGGCGGCAGACCGACGCGACGAGGAGATGGTAACCCGCGGAGGTTGCGAAGAGAGGATCGTGCGTTTGCGCGAAATGAGACCGGTATAGCCGGTTATTCAAGCTAGGTGCGCGGTGGGGATGAAGGTACCTCGGCTTGGGTCCCAGGGAGGTCCATAAAGCGTCGCTTTTGACTGTGCGGGTGCCGTGATTCGCGGAGTGCCATAAGATTCGAATAAGAAGATCGTCAGAGAGGCGGTTGATGTGTGCGCGGCGCTCCATAAGGACTCGAGAGCTTCACGACCTACGAACGTCCTATTGATAAGGTAAGAAAGTACGAACTAATGACCTTGGCATGGAAGAATCTGCGACGACTAACAGACTAGATCTAGGCGCGATGGATCTGGAGGAACCAAGGTTACACAGATTCCTCCGAAAGGCCCGCGCGCGCTCCTCCATGTGCCGCACGATGGATCAGCCAAACCTGTGCGCGTCGGGTACCAAACCTGTGCACAATGGTTCAACCAAACCTGTGCACATCGGATCAACCAAACCTGTGCACAGTGCATCAACCAAACCTGTGCTCATTGGGTCAACCAAACCTGTGCTGTGCACTTCGGAACCTGTGCAACCAAATCTGTGCTTGTGGCGAGGTGACGTGAATGAATAGGGCGGTGAATCCGAAGCACAAATTCCAAACCTATCAAGCTCCCAAACATGTCTTTGGTTCCCCGCGGTCGAAAGCGATTAAGTGATGAGATCAGACCTGGCTCATTGCAATAAATCTCGCTTCACCGCTTTCGACCGCGGCGTACTTACGAAAAGCCGATCAGGACCGCGATGCACAGATGGCGTTGGACAGTGCTGGGGTAATGATAGGTTTCAGAGCAGGTTTTGGTTAGGTGCCTGGGCTCATTCATGACATGGGTTCATTCATTCGTGAGGCTTTATGAGGACTCGAGCTCCTCCCGCCACCAACCTGGTCAGCCGAAGTCTTTAAGGGCGTGTCCCACGAATTCATTTGGAGTTTATATCACATTTTTCACGTAATTTCGACAAAGCAATAGAGTGTACACTCTGACGTGAAAAATACGCAGCGCGTCAGCACAGCGCCAAACGAAATTGGCCCACGCGGACTCATAACCCCACCCACACAAAAGTCGTCATCCGAACGTGGGCCGCGAGCGGTAACTCGCCACAGTGCGAATTAACTTTGCCCCTTGCGAATATTTGTTTTTTTTGTCGCCCGACAGAATATGCGCGAATTCTCAGATTGGGGTAACGGTATGGAGGATCCAGCTCGAAGTGATCTCACGTACCTTGTACGTGGGTAGTACGAACCTCTTGACGTCCTAGGCCACGCCATTAGGTGCGTTAGTGAAGACGCATGTCATGCAGGGAAAGGTTACAGACGGAAAATAGGGTTACTCCCTAAATTGAACTGTAAACGAACTCGTGGGATACGCCCTGATTTCCACCAGCTTTGATTCAAAGCACGCCGACGGTCTGAGCAAATCCGGCGGGTGAACTAAGCCATTGACATGGGCGAGCTTTTTATATCAACCGACTTTTCACGAACGCAACACCACACCAACCAACCTTCCAAGCTGGTTGATTGCGCCATCCCTACATTTCACATCGCACTTTCCTTGCGTCAATGTTTCGCGAGACTCCCCACGTAGACAAAGGCGAAAAAATTCAGTGCTCGACATTAAATTCCGCGTTCTAACCGATTTTATAGCAGCTGGAGGAACGAGCACACGGCCAACGCGCGCGGAACCTATCGATTGTGGTATTGGGCCGCGATGGGAAGGCGCGGCGACGTCGTGGCGGCGAGAGCGGCGGTGGTGGCGCTGGTGGTGGCGTGCTGCTGCATGCCGCGGCTCGTTTGCGCTGCACTCGTGCTTGACGCTGAAAGTAAGTCGTGCTGTTCGCTAAGAGTTAAGCTGACAAACGGAGGTCCCTGACAGACGGAGGTCCCTGACAGAAATGTAAGCCGCGCCGTGCGCCATAACGCTCCAGGACCGCCGTAACCCTATTCAGCAGCACAACATGAAGTCCGTACCGGCAACTACCCATCACTTTTGCCTGCAGCTTTCCTTCCTGCCACCCCCTCCTCAATCGTTCTTCCCTGTCCCTGTTTTTCGCGCCTCTCCCTTGGT